TGTGATACAGATGACCTCGTAATAATTGAGAATAAAATAATTGCTTGGTTGATTAGAGATTCGTAACATTCTTCATGCGGTACTGAACTTTTAGACATTTGGTAATTTTATAGAATTCCAACATCGAATAAACTATCATCTAACAGACGTGCCAGTAGTTTGAAAGTTTTTGAACGACACCAATGCGCAATATTCTTAGACAATGGGCACACCACCACAACAGTCACAGTAAGAATGGAACGTTCGAATCCGAGGAATCTTTCGGCGAGGGTTTGGGTAGCTGTCGATGAAAACCACTCGCAGATGAAAATTGCTTTCGGCAAATGGTTCGGTAGAGATATGCACAACGACGTGGCGTAGAATTTGGTCGACACCAGCAGCGACAGAGGTGGCTGGTTCCCTCTCGTCTTGCGAGATCTCAAGAAAATTGCAATTCCTCGTAAGTGACGTTTTCCTTCTCCCGCTGCGTGGTCGTTTCTTTCCCTTTCTTCCCTGGCTGGCTCGCGACTCTTAGATGATTAAAATAGTCCCCGCCTCCTTTTGTCGAACACCGTGCAAAAGCAGGCAAGGAAATTGCAAAATAGTTGTTTAGCGCTCTAGCGCCCGGTTTCCAACGAAGGGAAACCTCGTTGAACGATCGTCGTTCGTCCGAGGATCTCAGACAACTTGTCGTTTCCACGCTAATTTACAAGAGGATGCTCGAAGATAGGACGATGACTCTCGCCAGACTAAGATAACCAGGGATTGGCGTGCTATCGACTCGCGTTGAAATTGAAACCTCGTTCCGCCGCTTTTCAACTTCGTTTGAAGTTTTACAGAATAGTCACAGTCTTATCGATTCGGAGATCCAAAGTTTCGGAGCGTTGAATTTCTTTTTCGAATTTACGTCGTAATTGGCTCTCTCGTAGTTTGATTTGCATTTACTTTCGACTGTCAGATTTGCAGAAGAATCTCCTTACATTCTCAGATTTTTAAAAGAATCTGGCAACTTTAATTTTTATGGAAGAGCCTGCTATCTCTGAACTTTTGGAGTCGTGTGTTTCGCGAGTTAAGAATCTCCTGCGTTCGTGTAAATTTGCATCTCCTTATATCCTCAGATACGTATATGAAGAAGGATCTTATATTCTTTTCTAGGTTTCTAAAAGAAACGTTTGGTGTCCTAATTCGTACTTCGGAAGCACGTAACATCTCCCACGTTCGTGTAAATTTTTTAAGCCAAGATCGGCAAAGGAGAAAATTAATGCGCATTTCATCGAATAACGATAAAATATTGCGATTTGTTAAATGTATCGTATAATTCAAGTTTGTTTACACACGCGGCCAGCGCAAAATTAATGCACACGTCTCGCTGCGATGATGATGATGGTGTTCAATATTTGAAAAACATTTCGTATTTTAGCGAGTCAAACATAATTAAAAGCATTAAATAGAAATGAATCACACGTTGATCTCGTAATTCGATGATTGATTGCTGTACGGCGCGCAATCAGCTTAATTAATAACGAGTAGCTAATAAATAACGGCACGGTTCCGAATAAACGCGTTTCTATTCTCGTAACAATGAAACATCGTGTATCCGACGATATTCGGAAATCGCGAATCTACAGGAAACGAAATTAATATTCGAGTCCTTTGTCGACGCGTTTCCTAAATAACAGTTTGTCGAAAATACCGAGATAATCCGCGAATGTTTTCGACGTTTCAACGCCCACGGCTCGCAACACGATCCTGGCGCGAAGAGGATGACTTCGCTCGTCTCGACTCGCGGGCCAAAGAAAAATATTTCCATCTCCGTTTTCAGCTCTCACTTAAATACACATTAATATCCTTAAAACAGTGACATAACGTCCGGGGAGCTAAATACGCGGATGTTTCGGCCTCCTTGCTCCGGTTATTGCAAATGGTACGTCAGTATAAAATCCGAGAGAAATTACCGGCCGCTTTTTAGTTTTAATTAGAAAAATGTATCGCCTGGCCGATGTCTCTGGCCGTGGCTACGTGTTCTTTGATCGCGGTGTTCTCCGTCGAGAAGACACATTCATTGCCTGGCGAGAGTTTGAATATGTATATTCTTTACACGAACTTTCGTCATCTCCCGCGAGATTCGTCGCTTTATTATGAAATTTTCGCCGCGAGACAAATCTTTAATTGAGTTTAATTAGATTGAAGTAAAAACAAAGACAGTTACGTGAAACTACGACAAAGAAGCATTCCGCATATTTTACGTGTTTTAATTAAATTGTTAATTAAAAAAAAAAAAAAATCTAAGAGACGAAGAAAAGTAAGAGACCATGTCTCTTGCATTTGTCTGAAAGGGGAATAAAGCACAGCAAAGCGAATGAAATTTATCTTAATTACAATTTTAATAACAATGAGAACTCTTTCGTAGATTGCGTCTATGTTTTCCAGTAAAAGAGTAAATAAATGTAAGAAACAGCATCATTTTTGTCAGAATACACGTGATTTTAACTAACATGTAAATATATGCGCTTACGGTATACTTCAAATCTCTATTTTCCTAGATGTTTGTAATTTGCAGACGTAGCCATGCTAAACAGTAAACTGTACTGTATTTCTACGTTTCTTTGAACGGATTTAGTTACGTAATTACGCGAGTATTTCGTGAACGTTTCATCCAATTGCTGGTTTTCATAAAACTCGCACGCTGTTGCAACGAATCGACCGAAGCGTCCCCTCGATACTTACAAACGACGACTGACAAACAAAAAGCGACAAACAAACACACCGCGCGCAAATGCCACGACGAAATTTCCCAGCACTCGGCGTCCGCTCGCCCACTCGACGAAAAATTTACGCGTCGATGAAATTTAGATCTGCGTCTTTCAGTTTTCACGCTTTTAGCGCGGCACGCTATGTGGCCGCGCGCAGGTGACCCGGAAACAGCGCGAGTCTTTAAATTTTATATTCGACGAAAGGAACATAAAACGGACGTAGACGCGGACTTTTCACGTGGCGTCTCGCCACGAAACGTAGTCCTATGGGCGGCTCTGAATCGCGTGCATCCATGTAGTAACCATAAACGTAGCAGCCGTAAACATGGCTCGCGAACGTCCACCTCGAATCAAAGTGTAAGTGTTTCTCACGTGTTTGTGGGGGAATACGCGCGAATACAGGAGCAGGCATGTACAACGGCAGGCCGCAGGAAGAGTTTTGAGACGCGAGCGAGAGAAGGGAAGAGTAGGGAGGGGGCGAACACAAAGTTTCGGATTTTCAACTCGATTTACTCCTTCGCCAGGCGTAGGTACTTGCTTTTATGCGAGGCCCTGTTAAAGCACGACGCTTCGTTTGCTTAGGTTTACACTGTTACATTGAATTTTGAACGCTCATATTAGCCGCCCGTACTCGCTATTTGACTTCCGTACACGTGTTTACACGCCGCTGCGGGATTCTAAATCGAATCAACCGCTGCATCCATCCGTTTAATCTTCTTCTTTTTACACGCGCAGTGGTTCGTATCAATATTCGGCACACCGCGATGTTTGTTTGTAATAGTTGTTTACATCAATTGTTTTTTTTCCCCGGAGGCGTAATCAGAAGACCGCGGATTTTTGCGCATTTGTAGAAAATTTAATTTTCTACCTTCTCGCTCGTACCGCGAGTGTTATTAATATTCGGACACCAGGTCTGTTTGTCTGTTTGATCGTCGTATGTTTTTTTTGGGGGAGGGAGGAATTATGTCATTGGATAAGTTGCTTTTTAATGTATTGAAACAGTCAGTAGTGTTTTCATTGTAGATTTTTACGTATTTATGAGAAATTGAAGCTACAAAAATACATAGAAAACGCGAAAATGAAAATACGTGAAAAAAACGTATGAAATATTGAAGATACGATACTTGTTGCGATATTTGATAGATAAATCGAACTGTTATTTAGACGTCCTTTATTTTATTAAAATCCGCAATCTGCTTATTAGTAATTTAATAAATAAGAGAAATCTATTTATTTATTTAATAGTAAAAATTTTGCATAATAAAAAACCACTAAATAATGACAAAATTTAAAATTATAAAAGTATTTGAACTGCAAACTATAAATCCATAATATTTCAATAATTAAATATTTAAAGTGTTTGAACTATGTTCGTTTATAGTCTGATGCTCGCAAGTGGAATAAATTCATTTACAGCCAGACCCTCATAAGTAGAATAGGACCGTATATTTTTGCAATATTAAATCTAAAAAGATAAACGCACATTAAATGAATGCAACAGGCATGATTATCGATATATTAAAAAATGACTGATCTAATAACACCGTGACACTGAAGTATTTACCTTGGTAAATTTTTGGTTATTTTTTTTCATGTATATCTTATATTCACGGTTGTCCATTTTTATGTTCTGCTCCGTGACGCGGTTTTCTGATTAAATTTTTTTTTTTTTATATTTATAGGAAACCAATTTTCTTTTTCATATCCTCGTACTTTTTAAACACCTTTTACCATGCGCAAGTTTATCAAAAATGGCTTGAGATATTTATACGACGATTTTATTTAAAGTTAGAGTAAAATTTTCGTTTTTCCATGCAGAAAGGAATTTTTTATTTTCACAGTTTCGAAGAGGATTGTGTACGGGGAGTTAAATTAAATTCGCGAAAAACGAGAACACACTCCTCTCCGAAATCGAGGTTAGGATTTATTCGAAGACAAGTACCGTATAGAGTATACCATCGTAGTCTCTTGTATTGCTGCTACTATTCCGATATTTTTTTGTAACGAGAGAATATTAATTGGTTGATTTGGACTAGACGATGTGAATTGTACGTTATTGTCTATTGCTACACATGTCTGCGCAATTTTTAATGTACTGTTTAAATACACGTCGGCAAAATTATAAAATAAATAAAAGACAGTACTGTGGACACAAATATTAAAAATCTACTCGAAAATTCATATTTTCAGCAATGCAGTTAACATATCGATAGCCAAAAGGGTAAAATTATGTTTAAGACTTAATGTTCTTGAAACGATTTCTTTCCAGCACATCGTTGGCCATCAATATGTCACAAAACTCATATTGCAATTATTATTAGCTTCCCGCTAATTCTAGTAATCATAAAACATAGTCGTCAATAAGTGTTTGTCGGTATGCCAAAGTCAATTAAATTTTCGCGAAATTCTAGTCTCGTCGTCTACTAAAGCTTTCCCTCTCTCTTTCTCTTTCGATCAAGTAGCAGCTCGAAAATTTCTTAAAAATTATCCAAGCCTGTCAACAAGCCACTGTGATCACTCTGACCTCCTCGGGGCAAGTAACGTCACCTCGTAAAAACCGTGGAAATGATACGAGGGCGCATAAAGTACCGCAGTGGTCGAGAGAGCCGGCATATTGGAAACCATCCAATAACCCACTTGGCTTGCTGTATCGTTGCCACACGAGAGAGGTAACAAACGTAAAAAGGTGGGGCAAGCAGAGGATCAGAGGGGCAGCAGGGGAAGGAGCATGGAATAGAAGCAAACAGAGAGATATGCAAAATAAAAAAAAAATAAAAAAGAACGAAGGGCGAGAGAGAGAGAGAGAGGGAAGAAGAAAGAGAATTAGAAAGAGAAAAAAGTGAAATAAACAAAGAACGAGGCGCGAAAAAAAGGTATTTGCTCGGGGGTGCAAAACGAGGAATATGCAAGGGAAGTGGAGGATAAACTGCGGGGAGAAAAAAGGATATATACCGAGGAAAGGAATATGTCGTCGCGTTCAGTGAAATTCATTGGTCGCGAATTTCGCTCGTGATTTGTTAAAGAATTTTATCGCGCGTTCGCCGAAACGTCCGGAACGTACCACCGTCGGGACGAATCGAGCGCGCTTTTCGTCAACGATTTCGATATTCGAACGGTCGCGCTGTGTAATTATGTTACACGTTATTGAAATTTCGTTACGCGTTCGCTCGTGCGTT